ATACAGAGGATAAAATGGGTTAGTGCTAACAATTGCCACCTGCTTACCCATAATAGACAAGATGCATTGTGCTGGTGGGAGAGAGGTCAAGCTTGACACTCATCTTGGATTTTCTGGGGCCATCCTGATTTTGACAGAGCTGTCACACAAGCTCTGTCTATGGGATGGGCACAGGACCTCAGATCACTTATAGAGCCAAAAAAACTTCATGTTGTGAGTCATTGTGTCAGGATGTGTTTTATTGCAAGGTCATCGTGTGCTGATGTTTTGATGTGGACCAAAAAGTCAATATATTGAATTACCATATGCCATACAACACAGAAGCTTATTGTTTTTCTCATAATTACCTCCACATTTTTGACAACTTTCTGGCATTCAAATGCTCAGATCTATACAAGATATTTTAGGTGTGGTCTTACCAGAGCCAAACAGCAAGAGTGTGTTACTTCTCTGGAGTGTGACATGATGGCTCTCCATATGCAGCCAAACCTTGCAATGTCATATCGCATTGTGAATTGCTTAAACATACTTTTGTGCATCTACTTCCTTTAAGGTGCAGTGTGGGGGAAAAAAGCTTTTAAAAAAATTAACACATTTATCCAGCCAGCGAAAACTACCTCCAGGGTGTCATGGCCCTTGGGGCTTAGAAGGATTTAGGACACCCTGTTGCAGAGAACTGTGTATCCAAGGGAAAAAAATTAGTAAATGTGCCATAGGATGCTAATGCTATTGTGATGTTTTGGGCCATTAGGACCAGACTTCAGTGCATACACAGTAACACTAGCATCCTATGAAACTTTTTAATAAAAGTTCTTCCTTGGATACAAGTTCTTCTAAACCCAAGGGCCATGAAACCCACCCTCTGCCCTAATTTTCTCACTGGAAGAAAATCCCATTGGCATTGCTAGGCCACAAGGACAGGTTCAGACCACTGGAAGAGGTTTGAGGAACCATCATTTCAACCTTCAGATCCTGGTCTGATTTGGTGGGTCCTACAGGGTGGAGCTCCTGACATGCGAATGGGCAGGCGTTCCTTCTCTCAGCTGTGAGAAGGTAACAAGAGAATATCTGGATTCCTCGCTGCACATAAAACAGTGATAGCGGGGAGAGTTGTGATGGTTTGGTATCTGTCTGTACATGTCTGTAATAACATGTGACCTCCAATTGACAGCATAACCATCCTTGTGAAACATGTGACCTACGTTTTGAGCATGTCAGTGTAGTTTTCCCAGTTTGAACTTTGGTAAGTGCCTGACTGGAGCTTTACAGCATATGAGATAGTCACATGATAGAGAACACAGAAATCTTATCGAAGGGCAGGACCTGCTCCAGCTACCCTCTCTCTCATGGTGGACCACTGCCAGACAACAGAAGGACTGCAGGAGAGGCCTACCCAGCTGACACACTGGCTGGCCTAGGACTCACAAATAGGTGTGAGCACAGACTCAGGGGACAGCGTGTATGAGCTTTTTGTTATTTTTCCGTAAGATCTGTAACTCCTGTGTGCTTCAAGGATAAAAGTTACTGTGATTTTAGGGACTCCTGTGCAAAGCCTGTGTTCCTTACTCTGCCCTGTAGTTCCTGGGAAGTTAAACTATAAACCGTGGTGCCCTTGGCAAGGTGGAACTATAGGGGGCATGAGTAAGTGACTGGGGAAGTCTGAGAAGTCTCATCACTGGTTTCAGCACCTAGAGCGGTTGGACTGTGGAGTCCCGCCTCTCAAGGAAGGGTGACAGCGAATCTACATTGTGGAGTGTACCTTAGCAACCTAGAGCTACAAACAGTGTCTGGACTGTGACCAAACCCTGCTGGCTTGGTAGCTGATAGGATCCAAAGGTTGGTTCCATTACAACAGAATGGTGACCATGCACTAAAAGGGGATTCAGCCAGGTCTGTAACAAGAGTTATCACCTAATCAGGAACTCATAAAAAGGACAGAAAGACAAATCTTCTCCAGAATGCAGGAAAAGGCTTTCCAGGGGGAAGCTTTCTACAGCTCAGTCAGGAAAGTGGGTTATTCCTAGGCAAAGCAAATGTGTATTAAGCCATTGAACATAACTTTTTGTATAAATTGTTTCCTGGTTGCCCATAGGGTGAGGGGGACCAGGTTAATCAAGACTCTGCTGCTATTCAAGTTCAGCCACAATACTTGTGTACCCTGTTGGCATAAAGGGGGCTTTTGTTTTTTTGTGACAAAGACCCTTAATTGGTTTGGGGACAATTCCTCGGGGTGGACAACGGGGTCTTGATACACTACTATTAAGGTCAATGGGGTTACATGTGCATTGAGGCAGAAGACTAACACTTTAGTCTACATGGTAAACATTTTTTAAGGTGAACGGCAAAGCTTTTATAAAATTAAATGAGCCCCCTATTCATCAGATAACAAATGCTTAGACTCAAAATGATATAAACACATCTCCTTGTAACATGCAAACTTTGAAAATGAGGACCTTCCTTTACTCTTCCTCCAGGGCTTCAGTTCAGAGGCATATATTTGTCTGTTATAGGTGATAGCACAACTACCTAGAACGGCTGTGGTTTTGGTGATTTGTAACTTCAATGCTTGTTGCACACATGATGAACTACTGGACTCTGGTCTGGCTGGGTTCATCAGAAGGAAACTGATTTTCATAATGTGCGGTTGGGGGAAATTCCCTTTTCGGCCCTCACTTGTGATCAGTTTTCTGCCTTGAACCATGAAGCTTGTGAAACCTTATAATTTTTGTCAGATACTGTATCTGAAGAAGCTGTTGTTAGACATTCAGATTTCTAATCTGTTTTAATCTTGCTAAGATATTTGTCCTAATCTTCAGCAACAGTGAGTTCCATAGGTTTATATCAAAGTCTTTCTTTCACATGTATCTTCCCATTTAAATGAGTGTGCTCTCGTGTTATGGAAGACAGAAAAGAGGAATGCAAGACTAGTTTTCTCTATTTATAATAAAATACAACATATTTTATATTGCAGTGTTTGTCTCATAAGCTGTATCCCATGCTCTACTCTATAAAGTTAAATGAAGAATGAAAGCAGCAGGAAGGAGACGTTAAGATGCAGAAAAGGAAGGAAAGGTAGGTTTCCAGGTTTTAAATGAGAGGAGTCAGTGACCCAGGAAAATGTGTCCAAAGTTCAGAGCTGCAGAGAAGAAGGCTCTTGCACCAGAACTAATCAGATTATATGCAGAGACAGAAAGGAACCTAGTGCAACACAACTGAAGGAAGGACAAAGAGAGTAAAGCAGGCACAGAGAGGTCTTTCAAAAACAAGAAAAACATTGAACTGGATCAAATGGGAAGCCAGTGGAGTTGTTTGAGGGTGTGGGTAATGTGATTGTATTTCCCTGTAAAAGTAGGAAGGTGGCCCGAGAGAACTGAGCCTCAATAGTAAAGGGGTGAGGAAATGAATGCATGGATGAGGATTTCATCGGAACTGGAGATGCATCAGGCAGTACCGATGGTTATAGGCAACTTGGCAGTTATAAGTAACACATTACTTTATATACCTCTTCTTTTCATTTGAATAATCAATGCTAGCCTCTTTTTAATCTCAGGCTTTTAAATCTCTCCTCATATGGATGCCAACATCCCAAACCTGTGCTTCTAATCTTCAATGGCTCGTCTCTTTAGCTATCAAGAAACAGCCTGGCTTATGAGCATGAAGCCGTGGAATTTGAAGGAGCATATGGGATTTGCTATATGTTAATTTATACTGCGTAATTAGAAGACTTATTGGAATGTGGTGCTACAGGCTTTTCCTGTACAGAAGAGTACAAATTATACTTACCTACTTGAAAGTAATAGATACAGAGTAACTCTAAACTTGTATGTATTGAAGCATCCTTCATCTCATGGGAAGGGATGAGTGTTAGAAGAGTGGCGCAAAAGCTTTGCAAAGCACTGAAAGCCCCAGGAAGAGAGCATGACATCCTATGCTAGCTTTGTTTCTGAATTTCCTCAATCACCGGCCTAGGAGAACTACAAAGTCTGGCTTTGTTTAGGCTTTTTAGACAGGAAGGAGGATTTAGGAAAGTTTCTGGAAGGAAAAAAGCAGGACTTTGGGAAACGGTTGAGAGATACGAGGCACCATAGGTGTTAGAATTAGTGGTGCTGGGGATGCGGGAGGACATACTGGCTTGAAGTGGATGCCATCATATACAGGGTTTACAGTTTGGTTCAATAGCTCTCAGCACCTGCACTATACAAATTGTTCCAGTACCCCTGCAAGGCTGTTTTTTCTTTTGCCTGGGGTTTGTGTACTTTTTTGACCTGGCAGTGGATGAATGGAATGCTGGAATTATATTATCCAAACACAGGGAAATCAGATAAATGTTGGACCCCACAAATATTTAGCCACAGACATCCATTATAAAAAGGAAGGATTGTCTTGTGGTTAATCCACTGGACTAGGATTTGGAAGATGAGGATTCAATTCTCACTCAGCCTCAGATCTTCTGGGTGACTTTGGCAAGTCACTAAATCTCTCTGTGCCTGAAACCTCCCTGCTATACATATCCCTAGACCAGTGATACTCAGACTGAGGCTCGTGAGCCGCAAGTGGCTCTTTAATGTGTCTCCTGCGGCTCTTTGCAGTACAAGATATTGAAACACTGTGTGATTTAATTATTAAGCAATCAGGCTGCTTCTACTATGTTATTAACCAATTCAAGTTGACAAAACAATACTTGGTCAGTTATTTTGCTGTGAGAATAATGTTATAAATTCTCACAGCAAAATGACTGACGTGTGTGTGTGTGTGTGTGTGTGTGTGTGTGTGTGTGTATGTATATATATATATATATATATATATATATATATATATATATATATATAAAATCCTTCCTTTTATATAGTAAATGAAACAATGAATTCACTGTACTGTGGCTCTTTTGGGTAATGTTGATCACTGATTTGGCTCCTGAACCACTGAGGTCTGAGTATCACTGCCCTAGATGAAAAATGTAGCTATTAAAACAGTGAGAGTCTATCACTGGCCTGTATGACAAGTTAAATATTTCTTTTTTTTCCACGACATTTAATAGTGTGTAACTACGGAAACAGAGATAAAAGACGCAACTTTTAATGCGGAGCATCAGATCCTGCCCACTTGTACACTCCTGGGAATTTTGCCACTAACTTCAGTGGGAACAGGAGCAGGCCCAGGGTGTAAGACTTCTTTTGCCTATGATTTTAAAAGCCATTCTTTGGTGTGAGTAACTCTTATCTGACATAGCTGGAAGTGCAGCCTTCCAGTGTGGAATTCTGTGAAGAAAAGCTGCTACTCACCTGTCTGGTTTTGCAAAGGCTCAGATTTTTGATGATACAGGCAGTGTGACCAACAATGCCTGGGTCCGTTGGGTGAGTTAACAAGAGCATCCCCAGGTTCTGCAGCACCTCTCCATGCATCAGAGCGTCCTGCAAGAGCAACAAGCCATTCAATCACTGCTGATAATGACAGTGCTAAAGCATGTGATGTGACTCCATGTTATGTCATGGGTAGGACTACCCCAGCTCAACTTTCAGCTGTTTTAAACTAGCTGTAGTTTAGCGCTGTCGTTCTCAAATTGTGGTCCATTGACCACTCCTGTTACACATAACATATGCTGGTGGTCTGTGGAGAGGCGGATGGTCCAATGGTACTGGCTGATACTCCTCATTTCCAGCTGACAAATTCCATCAAATACTTATAAAATATTACAGTGCCAGCTCAGCAATAGCTGTAGTAATCAAAGGGAGGCATGTGATTGTGAATGAGAAGGGCAGTGCTCTGGGTAATGGTGAATGGAAGAGGTAGGTCATTCAGCAACCTTTACATTAGACAGATATGGTCAACTTGATTTGTTTTAAACAAACTAATTAAAAAAATCAGTTTGTGATCAGGCACTTTTTAAAATCACATTCCTGAAATTCCTTTAAAAAAGACCCTGTTCAAAATGGTATACTGGTTTCTCTGCTCTTCTATTGATATTTAAAGGCCTTTCAGAAAGCTTACCCCTTGCTGAACTTCCAGGCTTCTCTAATACCAGTGGGATCGGACCCTAGCTCCAAGTTTGGAATTGTTGGCCACCAAGTCTCCCTGGTATTAATATGAACTTATATATTGTTTTTCAGTAAGGTGAACTGGAGGGAAAACTCTCACACTGACTTAATCGGTTTTGGATCAGATCCATAGTTGCAAGCAATACCTAAGATCATATTGTAGCTAAAAGGTTAGCAAAGAAAACATTTCTCTGTTCTTTCAGTCTGTTTGCTTTGGGCATTTGACAGTACTTTGTGTAGAGTCAGTAATGTACTTCTTTATTCATACTGTTTAGAAACTGAGGCTTGCTAGAAAGGATGTACTAAATCTTTAACTCGGCATACGTACGGAGATGAAAGACATTACTCTGGAGTTTTGGAAATGTCAGGCTCCTTGAAGCAGCATCAAAGTTAGATGTCTTTAAAAATCAGTTTAAATTGCATCTTTCCTGATTTGTAGGTTGTTACAAAAGGGGTATTTTATTTTCATTTGATATTGACTGACATCTTCAAATGCATCCATTCCAAACACAGTCACAAGGTGAAATGCTGAAGCAAAACATGAAAGAAGACAAATCCAAAGTATAGCACGATGGTTAAACTCGGGGAACAAAGTATGACTTAACAAGCTCAGATGTCTACATGTTAGGTTTCAATCAGGGTGTGGTATGTACAGATATATGCTTGTGAATTTCTCTAGCAATGTCTTTCCCTGTCTTCTTAGACACAACTCACCTAATCTTAGCTAGCTAGAATGCGTTCAATTAACTGTAAAGACAATTTTGGATACGGTAGGTTTGACTCTTTTTAACCTGTGTAACTCCAATTGACTTCAGTGGAGCCACTCCCAACTTACATCAGCAGGAGAGGCAGCTCGGGCCTTTTAATTGAGTGCAGACCAAAAATGAATTCTTGCAGTACATGAATGGGTCCACTGCCAATCTTTCTCGTACATGTAGGATATACATTTGATCACTATCCCATCTGATGGCAGGTATTAGAACACTAAATTCTGATGGGCCTGCAGTATTTTGCAATTATATGTGTGAGACCCAGATTTCATTCCAAGTTCATTATTGTGATCCTCTGTTCAGTGAGGGAGAGCCACAGAGGCAGCATTCTCAGTAGAAAATGGGTGAACAGATTCAGATGAGTATTGGCCAAACTTCTTCCCCAGACTCAAACAGTTGGAAATGAAAAAAGATCCTAATCCACACTGGTCAGAGAAATCATTCCAGCAGCAATTGTTTTTATCATTTTGATACCTGGCCTTTGTAAAGCACTCTGAGATCATCTAGTGAAGTGTGCTAGCCAAGGATAAATATTATTCCCATTTTACAGATGATGAAACTGAGATGCAGAGAAGCAAAGTTACTTTGTGTCCTAGAACAAGTTAGTCAGTGGCAGAACTGGGACTAGAACCCATGTGTTCTGAGCCCTGATCCCTTGCTCTAACAAACATGGCTTCACCTCATGCTGAAAAGGCCCTTTATTATAACACCCAACCTCTTTCTTAGGGCTTTGGGACTGGATTGCTCTTGACAGACCTGAACAGAATTCTCTTTGCAGTGGGGAAGCTAATTCAGTGTTATGTTGCATGCTCACCATGAGTCAATGCAATGGCCAAGCCAGTGAATCACAGAGAGGCTTTCTATTAAGGAATGAAGGCTCCATGAAACATTCCATCTGATCAAATCCACGGTAACTAAAGGGCAGATAAATTTTACCCTATTGTATATTGGCCAGTATTTGTAATGACTCAAGCATTACTTCATTTACTTGTAAATGTTAGCTTTGTTCTGTGGTTTGTTTTCCTACTGCTGTTCCCAGGGAACAGTCCCTCTAATTCACTCAGAATTCAGACCAGGCCAGAGAAGGAAACCTTGAAAAGAGCTGAAAAATAGGCTAGAAAGGGTGGGGGGGGGGGGAGGGAAACAAGGGACAATGGATAAGACCCTTGTCTAGATACTCAGAGTTGAATCTCACAATGCAGCAACATTCAACAGTCAGTGACAGTGATGTTTGCTCACTAAAATAAATTTCAAAATGCAAACACTTCTCACCAGAGAATATACCCTTGAGATGACATTTCACTTCCAAGTGTCCTATTGCAGACCCACATATTACCCTTCCCCTGCTGGATGGTTTGACTGTTTCATTGTTGGTGTAACCACTTTGAACCTCTGGTCATGTTGGATGCTCCAGCTGTGCGCAGACAGGATGTGATGGGGGGTTGATTGAAATACTTGACATACACACATTTTAGAAGCCATGAAGGGGATAGGTTGTATGCATAGCTTGTGTGGGAGAGGGGAAGATTGAACTGCAAGAGATGCTTTCTTGGAAAATTAACAGCTTTATTACTGAGGTAAAATTCTGACCTGATTCTTCACATTGAGTAACACTTTAGTAACCCCATTGACTTCACTTATTTAAATTGTAAACTCTTTGGGGCGGGGACTGACTTTTCATTCTGTGCATACAGTGCCTCGCACAATGGGGCCCAGATCCATGACTAGGATCCCCAGTGCTAATACAATTCAAATAAATAATAAGCATCATGCCTTTCAAAGGCATCATGCCTCCAGGCACTTCTGCTTGGGCAGTGCACCTTCTCGCCTTTCCTAGCACACTACTAAGGCTAGGTCTACACTACGGGGGGGAGGGGAGGCGACCTAAGATACGCAACTTCAGCTATGTGAATAGCGTAGCTGAAGTTACGTATTTTAGGTCAACTTACCTGGCTGTGAGGACGACGGCGAGTCGACCGCTGCCGCGCCGCCGTCGACTCCGCTTCCACCTCTAGCTGCGGTGGATTTCCGGAGTCGACGGCAGAGCCATCGGGGATCGATTTTATCGCGTCTTCACTAGATGCGATAAGTCGATCCCCAATAGATCAATTGCTACCCGCCGATCCGGCGGGTAGTGAAGACGTGCCCTAAGTTGTAGGAGGCATAATTTTAACCATGCTGTGCTGAATGTGCAAGATCAATTGATGTACAAAGCACTAGGTCTGCAGTTCCCAGTGGGAGTTTCAAGCCAGCATGAATTTCTTTCAGTAATTAGCCACTAAAAGCCCCTAAAACAAGCCTTGGGTAGTCAGATTATCTTGTCACTACTGTAAAAAGCTACATCATATGATAGGCTTTCACTTTTTTTTGCTTGACATCCTTAAACGCTAACTGACTTAAGAGATTGTTAGCTTAAAAATCCTATTTTAAAATTTCCTTACTCGTGACTACTGACACCGTCAGCTATTGTAATGGAAATTATTGTACAGATGTTGCTTTTTCACTATCTTATATTTGTTTACTTTTGCATTTCTTTCTGCATCGACAAAGAAAATACCAATTTTGTTTTGTTTTGTTTTGTTTGTTTGTATAATCTACTTCTAATCAGTTTTGCTTTTAGGTTCTCAGGCATTAGCAATAACATTTCACCGTTTGTGGTGCTGTCTACCTTGAACAAAATAGCCAAATCTAACTAATGGGTTGTCCCCAAAGGGACAATTAACACATCTTAAACACCAGTGTGGATGCTCTCATTCAGAAGTAAAGTGGCCTTGTTTGCTTTAGCTTAGTGGTTCTTCAAAAGAGATCAATTCATTTGAACTTTCCTGAGTGTCCCTGTGTAGACAAGCCCTAACAAAATTACTATGCTGAGCACTGTAGATAAGATGTAGCTTTCTTTCTCTGACCTGATGGTCTCTATCTCTCAGCATACTATTCTGTGTCCTGCCATTCATCCTCCCTCCTAAAAAATCCCTTAGCCGTAAAGCAGCAGCGCTTTAATGTACCTTGTGCGGTCACGGCGCACAGTGCTCTAAAAAAACCACCTCAACGAGGGGCGTGGCTCCCAGCGCTGGGGCACTGTTTACATTGGCGCTTTACAGTGCTGCAACTTGCTGCTCGCAGTGGGGTGTTTTTTCACACCCCGAGCGAGAAAGTTGCAGCGCTGTTAATTGCCAGTGTCAACAAGCCCCAAGTCACTAGCCCTGCAATGCTTGGAATGTAGTGGTCAGTAGAGTGTGGGCTGGTGTGAGTGACCTTCTTCTTATACAGCTGCTCTACAACACAAAGGACTAAACTCAATGTCCACTGGGTCCCCCTCAACCCACACAATCCCAATATTAAATAACTGTCCAGGTGCAGTTGCGGTAGCCAGGGGCGGCTCCAGGCACAAGTGCACCAAGCATGTGCCTGGGGCGGCAAGCCGCGGGGGGCGGCCTGCCGGTCGTCGTGAGGGCAGCAGTTTGGCAGAATGCCTGCAGGAGGTCCGCCAGTCCCACAGCTTCGGCGGCAATTCGGCGGCAGCTAGCCGCGGGACAGGTGAACCTCCTGCATGCATGCCGCCGAATCCGCGTTACCAGCGGACCTCCCGCAGGCCGAAAGCCACCTGCCTGCCTTGCTTGGGGCGGCAAAAAACATAGAGCCGCCCCTGGCGGTAGCTAACCCTTGATCCCTTTGGGAAGGCCCTTTCTGTTTTTCTATGGAGATTTGCACATCAAGTATTTATATCAGTAATTCATTATATGCAACATTAACATTGTTGCCATAGCATTACTTAGTTAGGAGTATTAAAAGTTTTATCCCAGGCAGTGGCAAGAACCCCTGCTATTCAGCAACTATCATCCCTACCTGGTTGGCTGGGTGTTGGGATAATATCCAGAGGAGTGCAATAGAAGCTTGTTGAACATCTGAATTGCTAGATGCAAGGAGAGACAGCAGCTTGGGCAGGATGTCCATAGCAATGATGTCAGCCTGAATGTTCACTGTTTGGAAGAATGACAAAGCAGCTCAGTGTGGGGTAAAATGTTGTTAGAAGGTGTATGGCACAATTATGGTGCTGTTTTCATTAATGTTAGACAGACTTTTGGCTGAATGGTGATATATATATATATCCCTTATCAGAGGGGTAGCCGTGTTAGTCTGGATCTGTAAAAGCAGCAAAGAGTCCTGTGGCACCTTATAGACTAACAGACGTATTGGAGCACGAGCTTTCGTGGGTGAAAGCTCGGATGCATCCGACGAAGTGGGTATTCACCCACGAAAGCTCGTGCTCCAATACGTCTGTTAGTCTATAAGGTGCCACAGGACTCTTTGCTGCTTTTATATATATCCCTGTCCAGGCAGGGCCAAATTGTATTTTACCAGGTTATAAAAATCATGCTTTATCTGTTCTGTCTCCCTCTACCAACACTGTGTCTGGAGGAGTAGTATGGACCCATATTTGAATATAGCTTTGAAAGCACTTCGGCCTTGTTTGGTTGACCAATGCAAACCATGTTTGAAATGAGTTTAGCTGGAATGAGTTAAAGTTCACGAGGACTGTGTGTGTATGTGTGTGTGGCGGGGGCGGGGGGTTGGAGATACAGAGCCTGTCTAGACAATTTTCCCATTGCTTTAGCGTTTCCTGCCACTGCCGGAGTGGTACAAAGGGATGGAATGAGAAAAGGTTTTGATCCTTGATTCTTTGGAAGAACACTTCCCATTTTGTAATGTTAAATCAATAAATAAACCATCCGTTCGAAGACGCTTGTCAAGAACATGCCTAGTTTCTGTCCCAAAGCATCCAAAATGATATTTCTTTTCCTCCTTTGAAAGGAAGCCAAGAAACTGCTCCAATTTGGTGTTCAGTCTCGTAAAATAACTGAACATCTCTTCCCAAGAGAGAAAATTTGGGAGACGTGGTCATGTGACTTTGGACATATTGACACAGAAGGGAAAGGGCTCATTTGTCGTACCACAAACACACACACAGCTTGGCAGTCCTGGAGTAACAAACTTGAAGGCAGGCTGGGAGCTGTGGGAGCAAAATGAGTGGATCAGAGAGGAGAGCTCTTAAAATTAGTTCCCTACCGACTGAACTAAATTGCACCGTACTAAATAAGACGTATTAGTGAAGTACTTGCTTTAGCTGTACGGTACAGAGGAGATACAGAAGAAACTGCTCATGAGAATTGCCCTAAAATATTTGTAAAACCAAATTAAAATGACACCTGTTTATGATTTAAAAATCTAATGTGGCAGAATGAAGAAAAGACCCTGAATACATTTCAGAGATCTAGGCCATGACTGGTGCAGGAACAGTAATCGCACTAGGGATGTTTGAGTGAGGGATGGGAATAGGTGGCATTTCAAAAAGGAGGAGGGAGGATGAAAACAATTGATCTACTAGATACATGTACAACTGGTCTTATACCTCTGCACTATCACAGACCAATGCTTATTTTTAGACAGCTAGTTACAGGGATCAACTGTTGCAGAGAAATTTATAATTAAAATGTACACTTACATAATGGCTGTGATGTTGCAGTCTATATGGTTTTATAAAAATCTGATAATAAGTGAATATAATGTAACTGGGATATGCTTCATGCAAAAGGTTTCTTGTAAGGTATCATTACAAAGCTTATAATCTACTGAGTGTGATCATCCTATTTGTATAAATGTATCACTCTTGTATCTAAAACTAGAAATATGAAATATAACTCTGAGGGCCTATTGTAATTATGCAAAGTGTGGGCCATTAATGGTGGTTTGGAATCTTGATGACTCCCATTAACTAGGACCATTGTCTGCAGATGGCTGTGTTTTACCTGTGAGTCTTCCTGTATATGGCCTTGGCTACACGGGCGCTGTACAGCGCTGCAACTTGCTGCACTCAGGGGTGTGAAAACGCCCCCCCTCCCCCCCCGAGCGCAGCGCGTACAGCACTGTAAAACGCGAGTGTAATCAGAGCCTGCAGCGCTGCAAGCTATTCCCCTCGCAGCGCTGGGAAGTCCTGAGTGTAGCCAAGGCCTACGTATGTGCTGGCAAGTGGATAATGAAGTCTTGCAGTGACATGTGATCATGTCACCTGAACTGGAATCCATCTTTAACCTGGTGCTTTTCCAGTGAGGGGGGTGGAAACCCAGAGGGACAAAAGGTTCCCGCCTTATGCAAAAGATATATAAAGGGGTGGAACAGAACAAAGAGGGGAGAGAGGAGCCATCATGAAGAATCCCCTAGCTACCACCTAAGCTGGAACAAGAGCTGTATTAGGGGAAAGAATTGTGTCCAGGCCTGGAAGGTGTCCAGTCTGAGGAAAAAACTTACTGAAGCATCTCTAAGGGTGAGATTATCTGTGTTTAGTTTGATTAGACATAGATTTGCGCATTTTATTTTATTTAGCTTGGTGACTTACTTTGTTCTGTCTGTTACTACTTGGAACCACTTAAATCCTATTTTCTGTATTTAATAAAATCACTTTTTACCTATTAACTCAGAGTATGTATTAATACCTGGGGGAGCAAACAGCCGTGCATATCTCTCTATCAGTGTTATAGAGGACGAACAATTTATGAGTTTACCCTGCATAAGCTTTATACAGGGTAAAACGGATTTATTTGGGTTTAGACCCCATTGGGAGTTGGGCATCTGAGTGCTAAAGACAAGCACACTTCTGTGAGCTGTTTTCAGGTAAACCTGCAGCTTTGGGGCAAGTAATTCAGACCCTGGGTCTGTGATGGAGCAGACGGGAGTGTCTGGCTCAGCAAGACAGGATGCTGGAGTCCTGAGCTGGCAGGGAAAACAGGGATAGAAGTAGTCTTGGCATATCAGGGGGCAGCTCCCAAGGGGGTTTCTGTGATCCAACCCGTCACAATGACTTTCATCCTGAAGGCTCCAAATCACTTCATAAACTATATACAGTGTAAATGCCATCATAGAAATACAGCTGCTTTTCTATCATAGATTCCCAGCTATTTCTTTAGTGGAAATTGTCACTGCATCCTTCATTGGCCAACACTCTTGTGGCCTTCTGCCACACAAACAGAAAGCAATGTGCAGATATTACAGGGTTTGGAAGTAAAACTCCTGCTAACCCTGGTAGGGATAGTTCTGTTCTGTTTAGGTTCTTATACTGTACTTCACTCATCATCCCTGGTATCTGTTTTGTGTTAGTACTTTTCTGGCAGTGTGGGTATCCTCCAGACAGCCAGCAGATGGAATCAGAGCCTCTACTGAAGCCATAAAGGACAGTTACACTTATGGACTAGTACAAGCAGTGCAAAAGGCTCCCATGAGATCTTAGTATGTTCATTCTGTATGTGAAGAAGCCCACCTAGACTTTCTAGACACAGGCTTGCTCTAGAGGACACTGCTGCACAGCAGGGTGTGAGGCTTCTCTTCCCCTTCTTCCAGCCGAAATGTGTATTTTAAAAACATGTATCGTACGTGTAAATAGAGTTTGATGGCAAATATGTAGGGCTAAATTATGCTTCACAAAAGGCAAAGCTGTGCTCAGGAGGAGGAGGTGGCAGTGGCACACTACCTAAGCAGCAATCTCAAGTGACATTCTAAGAACATAAGGACGGCCATACTGGGTCAGACCAAAGGTCCATCTAGCCCAGTATTCTGTCTTCCGACAGTGGCCAATGCCAGGTGCCCCATAGGGAATGAACAGAACAGGTAATCATCAAGTGATCCATCCCCTGTTGCCCATTCTCAGCTTCTGGCAAACAGAGGCTAGGGACACCATGCCTACCCATCCTGGCTAATAGCCATTGATGGACCTGTCCTCCATGAACTTATCCAGTTCTTTTTTGAACCCTGTTATAGTCTTGGCCTTCACAACATCCTCTGGCAAAGAGTTCCACAGGTTGACTGTGTGTTTTGTGAAGAAATACTTCCTTTTTATAGAGGCAGTATGATATTTTCTGTCTTCTCTATCCCTTACTTAATGATTCCCAACATTCTGTTTGCTTTTTTGACTGCCGCTGCACATTTCAGAGAACTATCCACAATGACTCCAACATCTCTTTCTTGAGTGGTAACAGCTATTTAGACCACATCATTTTATATGTATAGTTGAGATTATGTTTTCCAGTGTGCGTTTGTAGCAAGGCAGTGTGGTTCCCTGCCATCCCGGAGAGGGTCGAGCCCCTCCGGACACCAGTGTGTGCGGGGCCGGCCAGAAAGTTCTGAGCCCACCTCCCAGAGGGTCAGGCGCAGGACAGGAAGTAGAAAAGGAGGGGTCCAGAGCTCACTTGGAGAGCAGCCGCCGGAGAGGCCAGACGCCTCTGGCCTAGCTCCCGGTTGGGAGATCCCTGCAAACTACAGAGGACCCAAGGACTGGCCTGACCTGCTGATGCCCAACACCAACCAGAGCCCAGAGGAGCTGCCTAGCCTGCCCCGGCCAGTTACCCAGAGCACCCCATGGTGCCTGACCCCTCAGAGGACACCGTCCGGACCCAGGTACCTCTAGAAGGGGAGTTCAGAAGTAGCCCGGGGGCAGCCGACTCTAGTCTGGCTGCAGCACTGCAAGAGCCTATGTCAGTGTGTTGCGGCCAGGATCCCCACTGACTCAGCAGTGGGTTTTCTGATGCTGCCAGGGCCCCGGGCTGGGACACAATGGAGTGGGAGGGCCTGCGTCACCCCTGCCACCCAACTTGTGGGTGTCAGTCTCCCCCTCTCCCAGGCCCCTCTGAACCGAGGGCCTGGGCTTGTTGTTTACCTGCCTTTGCTCAGTCCCTGCGTGAGGGCCTAAGCCATTGACTCTCTTTTGCCCTGCCCTGACCCAGGGCCTGGGCCTGCTAATTGTATAAACTGTTTGCTCAGCGCCTGCCTGAGGACCTGAGCCCTTGACTCACTATTGCCTGCTGACCAGGGGCCGGGCAAGAATAACTGTCTGTGTTTGCCTTTACTGCTGCTGTGGCGAGAGACTCCCATGGCCTGGCTAATTTCCCGTCAGCAAGCGGAAGGAAGTATCGAGGCGGGGTCGTTCCCCGACGTCCTGGAGAGGGACAAGCTCCAGCCAAACCCCTCTACAGCATTATTTTGCATTTATCAACATTAAATTTCATCTGCCATTTAGTTGCCCAGTCACCCAGTTTTATGAGATCCCTTTTTAACTCTTCACAGTCTGCTTTGGACTTAACTGTCTTGAGTAGTTTTGTATCATCTGCAAATTTTTCCAGCGCACTGTTTATCCCTTTTTCCAGATCATTTATGAATATGTTGAATAGTACTGTACAGACGCCTGTGGGACACTACTATTTACCTCTCTCCATTCTGAAAACTGAACATTTATCCCTACCCTTTGTTTCCTATCTTTTAACCAGTTACTGATCCATAAGAACACCTTCCCTTTTATCCAATGACAACTTACTTTGCTTAAGAGCCTTTGGTGAGGGACCTTGTCAAAGGCTTTCTGAAAATCTAAGTGCACTATATCCACTGGGTCCCCCTTGTCCACATGCTTGTTGACCCCCTTCAAAGAATTCAAGTAGATTGGTGAGGCATGATTTCCCTTTACAAAAACCAGGTTGACTCTTCCCCAACAAATCATATTCATCTGTGTGTCTGGCAATTCTGTTCTTTACTATAGTTTCAACCAGTTTGCTCCGTCTCAGGCAATCACCTTGTGATTGCAGCTTGGGTAGCTTTAAGCTAGCACAGGTATCAGAGAAGTGAAGCCACAGCAAGATGCCCTTCAGCAAGTCCTAGCCCCACAAATAATTACTCAGGGTTCCCGTTAGGCTTGTACAGCCTGGGCCAAAGCATGTGCTGCCCTGGCTCCACTGCTCTGGGACCCAGGTATGTGTTCTCCAGTCTACGCATGCCCTTATTCAGGCTCAATGCTTTGTGGGTGCTGGTGGGAGCATAACTAGCAGTGGGATTTGCTACACTTTAAAAAGCTGAAGGTGCTAATCTGGTGCTAGTACACAAGGATCTCTCTCTCTCTATCCACACCCTGGCCAGACATGTCATCTCTGGGCCTGTGAGCACTGAAGTTAGGGTTAGCTAGCACAACCCCCCAACCCCATCAATTATAGGTGTCTCCTAGACAGGTGTGCTGGAGATGAGGGGGCTCCCTTTGCCCTGTACTGCATCTGCACCCAGGTAGGGCAGCCATAATTGGGTTCCTAACAAGCAGGAAATTCCCCAACCTGCTGTCCTTTCCCAGAGAGAGAGGCGGGGAAAAAAAGAAAAGTGTTTTTCCCAAACACATTACTCACCACTTGTGGCCAAGTTCCTCAGACAAACACATGCCTGGCTTGAAACCTGGTTGTGCCAATAAAAAAAGAGTGAGCACTCCAGTAACTGATCCTGTTGTCTAAAATAAACCAATAAACACTGTCTACAGAGTGTTTATTCTGGGATTTCATTTCCAAAAACGGTTGCTGAAGGCCAGTACATACAGGTATGAATCAACACCAGCTTAATTTTCCACCACCCAGACCTGTTACTCAGTACCTATTACTGTTGAGCAGGTTAGCAATATCCAGGGGATTTCCACATGCTGCCCAGAATCTAACAGTACATTCTCAGTGTTGATTTACCTCAGGAATGTCAAATGAACTGAATAGACAGGGGTGCTGGAACAATTTGTATAGTGTGGATGCTGAGAACCATTGAAGCAAAGTGCAAACCCTTTATATGATGGAAATAACTTAGTCAGGGGGTGCAGCTATGAATGCACTGAATTTATTTGGTTTGCTTTTTCTCTGTATTCCCCTGAAAGAAATCAATATTCTTCTGGTCTAAGAAAGTAAGACATGTTTCCAAGTAATCATTAGCGACATGAACATTGTGGTAGCTGGACTGGGATAGATGTCAAAGGTGAGATGGGATAAAAGGCAAGGCTGACTTAGAGCTATTGTCTTATCTCCCTTATAGGCCTTCTGCTAACTTTCAGTGCCCTACAGATGTATTTTATAAATCCTGAGAATTGCCAGTCCAGAACCTTGAAACACTCTGGGGACCCAGAGTGGCAGAGGCTTGGACTCCTCTCACAGAAGACCTAGTGCGTGTCCAGGAAGAAGTGTTCGCTACGGTCTGTGACAGCCTGTAACTCTTATAATGAGCAAAATCAAATCTCTGAAGTTTGGGAACACCTGGTTCCAGATCTGAACTCCAGCTCTGCAGGCCCAACTCTTTGTTTCCATCTTTAAAGCACAGTGCAATCAATAATTATAACTTTGCCAGAAATGTGCTAAAATTCTCACATCTAGCAAAGTGCCTCAGTTGCATGCTATGGGATTTACAGTAGTAAAGTGCAGTTTCAAAGCCTCCCCTGCACTTGCCTGGGGCTCCCTAATTACGGTGTAAAGCAATCTAGTTGCATCATAGCTTCTTCACGCTGAGTGTAACGTACAGAATTAAAGAAACCTCAGGAAAATGATCAGCAAATCTGCTGTACAATAACACACTTCCCTCCCCTATCTTTTTCACTTTACCTTGTCCACAGATGAAAACAGGAGAGAAATGAGTGTCCGCAGAAGGAATTGGTCCCCAACTCGCAACATGGCTTCATGGTACTGAGAGTTGGCTGCCACATTGCTTAAAGCTGCACAACTATAATACTGTCGAGAACAGAGAAGGGGGTGGAGAGAAGATATCACTGTGACAGTGTTTATTCAATACAGTGAAAATCAACAGGAGAACGGCTTAGATTTTTTTTGACAAAAGTGTGTACTTTTCAACTTCAAGGTGCTTTACAAAAATTGATTAAACCCCAAAACACCTTTCTGAGGTAGGTAGGTATTAATACTCAGATCTGGCTGACTGGGGGAATGGAGAGAAACTGAGACAGAGATTGTGACGTGCCCAAAGCCACAGGGGAAGTTGGTGGTAGAACTGGGATAAGAATGCAGAAGCTCTTGGCTTCTAATTCCATGTGCAGGACACACGTCTCTTTGTTTTTGAGAAACAAAGTGTACAGAAAGTGAGCTTAATGTCCTTTGGGGCAAATATTGTGGAGAGCATTCATGAGACAAAAATTCCTCTGTCCATTCTATTACAGCTCAGTCTAAGCAGGGCACTTTTTTTCTGGCCACACCCTTGGACTCATGTCTGAGCCTAGTTAATAGCCCTAAGCAAGACCATAAAGGTCCAAAATATAATCTAGATGTAATCAGGGAAGAAATATTTTGTCAGAACCCACAAATATGGTCTCATAATGGCCCCTCTTCTACTGGCAAATCCCAGCATTCGGGGTGTCATTTCTGCAAAAAGGGTAGTTCAGGCATGACAAGGGGGACTTCCTAGTGCTCTTGCTGTGAAAAGATGCACACAGGCAACGGGGTGACTGAAAGAGAACAGTATGTACACATTGACAGCCTGGCATAGCCACAGAGCTATGAAATATATTTACATCATGCTCCTCAGCCACTGTTATATGACCAGAGCTGCTCAAGTCATAGGCAGAATTCAAAGGAGACTAAAGAATGCAAGGAAGCAAGGGTTACTTGTCCATCGGACACATAAAACTCTCTCAGTTCTGGGTTATATCAGTGTGTGTCTGGGAGGGCACTTCCCAGTCCAGATTGACACACACACAAGTTCTGCTTGAGCTAATGTGCTAAAATTAGCAAAGTGGCCATGGCAGCATGAGTGGCTGCTTGTTTGTTTTCTGCTAGACATAATGGAACATATTTATATAGCATCCACCACACAAGACCCTCAATGGTCCTAGCAAACAAAGCTAGGAATAGAGCTGAAACCTCTTAACTCCCAGTTCTGTGCTTTAACATATATGCTATGTGTCCTTGCAGAAATATTCATCTAAGACTAAAGACATTAGCAATTACTTCTATGAGAAATTCGAGTTTGAGTTGCTAGCAGTAGCTATGTTAAGTAGACATAAAGAACAGGGATGAAGAGCTTGGAAGAGACACGTCTCCGAGCTTTGTTGCAACATATAAAAGCTTGCCTCACCCCTGTATGAGACTGTATTTGGCAGGCATCTGGAAAATTCTAGGAATCATGCATTCTACATTCGATAGAACTGTTCATGGGGCGAGGCTATACCAGCCTGCACTCCTCTTTGAAGATACTCTGAATGATTGTGCTGACATGTCAAGAGAGAGCAGTAGGATCACACCCAGGAGAAAAGCATTTGCCCCCCCCCCCCACCTCTGCCAAAGGCATCAATGCCATTACTGAAGGCAGTCATCTTGCACTGACTGACTAGACAGGTACAGCCACATTCAGCAAAGCAAAAAATAACCATATTCAAGCCAAATGATGCAGTATGTTCTACTGTCCCAAAGTGAGTTTAATCATAAAGACTCTCCCTGAAGGAATGGCAAAAATATTTTGGCTGTCACTAATGTCAATGGACCAGATTAATCTCTGGTGTAATTTGTACAGCCTCTAAAGAGTTGTAGAAGGGATAAATGTCGCCCAAACTGTTTGTATAATATAAAAAGGGAGGGTGCAGAGAAATTCTCTCCCAGGAGAAATTAACACATGTTGGCAGACTTTGTGGAATGGAGCAATCTGTTGTGGTTTCTTTGTTTTTTCGTTCTCTTGCTTGGTTGGTTGTTTCTACTTCTTGATCAGGAAAAAAATCTTCCACCATAATGTTTGGGTCGTAAAAGGGCTCCATCTTGTCTTTCAAATACCTCCTTGAGCATAAGGAAATTTAAGGGCAGTAATACTGCTGAGGGGGTTACAGAGGGGCAATCTCACCGCAACCTTTGATGCTCCAAAACAGATTCTTGACACGTGACCTTGCGGAGATGAGGTATTAATGCTCAGACTGTATTTCCCAATAATTGGGACCAATTATGTGGTCAAAAGGTCTGAATTGACATTCCATGACTGGAAGACAGAAGCTTGTGGAAGGTACTGGCTTATATTGACTGCCATCCTTCTGTTCAAGCCTCCTGATGTTGAGAATGCATGGCCAAAGCAAAATGACTGGCAAATGAGGAGTACAGCATCAGTTATGAGCAAAATCCCTTCAAGGAATACCATGGCTGGCCTCCCTTTCTCCAAGAGGGCTTCCATATGCTAGCAAATTAGACCAACAAGTGCTCTCATTTGTTCTGCTAAATTTTTATTTTTAGCACTGGTAGGAGCCAATTTGATAGAATTACTAGTAAATGGATGAAGGATGTATGCCTTAGATGTAATATGTTTAGATTTTAGTAAGATTGAAATAGCAACTCACAAAATCTTAATTCAAATTGGCTTGTGGACTGAAAACAATGTGCAGGACCTTAAACTCAAGTCCTGTACACACCAGGAAATTGCACCACTGCTCAAAGTAGAATTCTGAAACAGTATTGAAAACAGTGTTGTTGGAGCTATTCTACTATTTGAACTATTTTCGTTTCCTGTCCAAGGAGACTTAGTATAGAAGAAAATTGTCTGTGATAGTTCCAATTCCTAGTGTAGGCATAGATAATGATAAACATTGGTCTGTCTAATTTAGGAAGGAGTAAGAGATACATTTCTGAAATAAGCAGATGCCAAGGAGGATAAAGACATAATACAAATGGGCCCTGACAATGGGCCATACAAGTGTGGCTTGAATCTACCTTGGCCCCTCTCCTCCTACCCCACAGCCTTTCCTACATCAAGCATAGATCAGTCAGAAGGGAGACTCTCTCCCAGTGTGTACTACAGAGGATGGTGTATAACCATTTGCAGATATTGGAAGGGTGTAATCACCAAGGCTTGTTTAGTGAGATACAGGAAGGTATAATTTGGAGTAATGGGATAAAATAGAGGGAAGGAATAATTAAGATGCATATCAGGAAAAACCTGTGATGCTGAATGTTTGTGGAAAGTAGTTGTAGAGGTCCCATCTCTTGGGATATCTAGAACAAGACTGGATGAAATACTAACAAAAATATGTAAGAGACCAGGAGACAGACTGGATGATGTAACAGGTCCTATCCATCTTTAATGTCCATGATTCTGGTCGTTGGCTTTCTCCGGATTATTTTAATACAAAGCTTTCTTCATAGGTGTGCATCATCATGAGATACTCATATAGATCACCCATTGTGTGCAGGTAGGGCAACCCCCATTGTGGGCTATGCACCCCATATACATAACCAACTACAAGAATAATTTTTTAAAATCACACATCCAAAATATTGGAAAGCTTTAACAGGCAAAATAAAAATATGGAGGTACAAGTAAAGAGAGCCAGTCTTAACTGTAACTGGTCTGATGTATGTCTGATGTCCTCAAAGGTATAGCTGATACCTACAAAAAAATTGACAACTGACCGGAAGCTGGTATTCTGATACCATTGGTTATCTTGCTGACCTGTACTGTCTCATTGTTTTCTTGTGCTCTCCCTGTCTGTTGTATCACCCTATTGTCTCTTGTGTTATACTTGGATGATAAACTAATTGAGTTTTTGCACAGTGCCTAGCACAATGGGGCCCTGGTCCATGATTGGAGTTCTTAAGTGCCACTGTAATATAATAATAACTAATAATTAACATAATAATTAATAATCCCCCACTAACTTTTTCTGATGCAAAAGGATAACAGGAAAGCATGAAATCTATGATTCTGCCAGAGAGAAGACTGGTATCTTCACAACAGCTTTCTGTGTGTATTTTCATATCAGCTTTCTCCTATCACAGCTGGACCTATGTTGCATGCCCAAAGCAGTGTTTATACAACTATTCAGCATTTCACTGTGACACCATTACCTATTGGTTCACTGAAATAAAAACAAAAACAAAGTCAAAAGCCCTTTGCGTTCCTTCTTTTCCGATACTCCCAAAACCCTGGAGAAGCCCGAAGTCCTTACATTGTATTTTTGAATTCTAATAGTTATGCTAGCTCCAGGATTGTATAATTTGCTTTTATTATTTAAAAATTGTGGCTTGTTTTAACTATACCTGTACTTCTGAGTCAGGAGATTCTAACATCAGGATGAGGACAGGGAGGGCTCCTTCCCTGCACAGGACTTGCTGGATCCGCTCTGCAAAGTGAGAAAGAGGGCAATTTTTAGTATGTGAAAGGGTGCGGAAGGATCAAGGATCACCCCCTCCCCAGCATACAATCAAATGGATGCACCATTGTGAAGGCTTTCTGAGAAAAAGGGACCATTGGGCAGTGCTGAGTGATTTAGGTTCATCCAAATGTACCCCAATGAGAGTAACTTGCAAATAACACTCCAAATAAGACAAAGTCCGTATGGGAGCAGAACGGCAGTGCAAAATCATTTTAGCCATAATGACCTGAAAGCCACCTGAGCAGGCTTTTCCTTTTTTTTTTTTTTTTTTTAAGTTAAAGATTAAAATTGCTAGAAGTGCTAAGCAAACATCAGACCCACTAGTATAAGCCATTTCTGTCTATTTCATATAAAACATCTTTTTTAACCATTAATTGAAAATGTGCAATTGTAACAGTCAACAGGCAAAGTTCTCACCCTCCCCCAGTACCTCATCCAAAGGGGACAGATCAGCCACAGCAGTAGTCTCTTGGTGCATGGGATTGACCTCTGACATGTTTTCCATTGTTTTTGTTTTAGAATTAATGAACAATAACGCTGCCTTTTAACATAGAAGGACAAATCATGCTCCCACTGAAGTTCATGGGAATAATCCCATGAAACAGGCCCGGGCCCATAATGTTTATCCTAATACCCTGCAACACCAGGTTTGGGATATAAGATACACATTAAAACCTATACCATGATTCACTACTGTTAAGTAATCTTCCATTTTAAGAGATTACCCCGAAGTGCACCAAAGTGTCCTGAGTACAGTTCTCCTTTACCAGAATGGTCACTTCTTTTAAGCAACTGATTTTTGTCAGTTTCCTGAGTGGTGACTTAATAGGGTGCACTCAAGTTCAACTGTGTTGATAATCAAGCCCTTGCTAATTACAAACTATTAACAGGTGGGTCTATATAAGCTGCCAGAGGCCAAGCTTTTTGAATGTAGAGACTCAGCCAAGGTCATCATCATGAATGCCATTTACCAAGAAAATGACATATATTATCAGGATTCCAAAGTTATCCCATCTTATCCTTCATAAAATTAGGCTGTTTCTAGTTACAGGGCAGTTGCTTTTGGCAATTTGTAGATAGATCATTAATCTGAAAGTACCTGATCGTGTGAGGTTGAGAATAGCTCCAACTGCATTTTGTTGGACTCTAGGATCATAGGAGTTGGCAAGTGCCAGCAAGGGTATAACTCCCGCTGAGCCGATGGCCTCTCGGTTGGACTCTGGGGAAAACATACCATGAGAGAGAAATAAGAAGAGTGTCTTTTCAGTATGTCTTCACGTTAATCTAATAAACTCTGAAAAGGAAGTGTAAAACTAGCTTTATTTGGGATTTTTATCTGAATTTTTACTATTTGTCAAAGTCCCTTAGTATCCTCTGAGTGAATCCCATGAGCTCAAAAAGAGAGACGCTAACTGCAGAATTTTAAATGTCAAATTTACCTTATAACCCTGATGTGCTCTAACAAGGTATTGATGATCTTGTAAGTATTATAGTAGCAAACAAACCTTTATTTTGTTTGTAGGTAGGATTTCATTAATTTAGCAGGATAAACACAGTGAACCAAATTCTGTTTTTGGATTATCTGTGCCACCCCAATGCTTAAGGTTAAGATTTTTGTCACGGTTATTTTTATTAAAAGTCACGGACAGGTCGTGGGCAATAAACAAAAATCCACGGAAGCCTGCAACCTGTCTGTGACTTTTACTAAAAATAATGGGGGGAAGGGCTGACAGGGGATGACTGAAGCGCAAGGGAGGGGGAATGAGAGCCTGAGCCTCGCTTTTTCACCAACAGAAGTTGGTCCAATCAAAGATATTATGTCGCCTGCTTTGTGTCTCTCATATCCTGGGACCAACATGGCTACAACACTATAAAAGTGTAAGGTATTTATTATTAATTTATAAAAATTCTACTTTGATGGCTATGTTTTATGGCATATTTAATCACTTCATAGTCATACACTAAATATTTTGGGCCTTGTACAACGTTTCCTGAACCCAGTCTTGAGAGAATAATAGCTCTCCTTTGCTGTGATGCCTATAAAAAACTTGATAAATTAGGCCACTATTGTGCTGAGACTATTGCCTATCATACTGACCAATGTTGTTCCATTGTTACTTGTACTCCCCCCCCATCAGTCTATATCCATCTGTTGTCTCTTGTCTTATACTTAGATTGTATACTCATTGGGATAGGGACCATCTTTTTATTCTGTGTTCGTACAGAAACAAGCACATTGGTCCTTGTGATTTTGAAAAGCATTCATTATTGTTCTTACTCACCTCCCAGTGAAGTCATTGGGAATTTCAGTGGGAGCAGAGTTAGGCCAATATTGAATACTTTTGAAAATAGCACTCAATGTTTCTTTTGATTCTCAGGATACTTTGTACAAAAACAAAACTAAGGCCAAATCTTGCACTCTTTACTCAGGCTAAATGCCCAGTGAAATCCATTGGAGTTTTGTTTGAGTAAGGTCTGTAGGATCTGGCTGGTTCAAAGAGTGGCTAATATGGGAAAGGAGGCTGGGAACTCTCTAGTATGGATGTGTAGTTCCTTAAAGGTGAGGTCAACTCTTTATGTCCCATTTCACCCAAAGGCTTAAGAGGCCAAAAATATTCTCATTGCTTTTACAGTATGATGTGCATATATGTTTTTTCTGCACTTCAATCAGTAGAAGCAAAAATCCTTTCCTGTAGTTTTATCTGATGGCAAATAGTGTGGCATGATATATGCTTTAATTAGTTCAGCAAAAGAAAGATTTAAACAGATTAGGAATTTTGAAACTACCTCCTCCTCCATTCTTTCCCACGCTACAGTGTGAGCTGTGTCTATGAATGTGGAAAGGAAATTCATATCTGGACAAGGTAATTTTATAAAATCTTTTTCTCTTTTCTTCCTGTAAGAGAGGCTCCTTGGGAAATTTGTCAAATCTAGATCCCTTGCTGGGAGGTTTCCTAAGAAAGCAAGGGTGTTAATGCTGTATCAGATTCACAATGCATAGTTAACACTTTGTCTCTTTAAAGCTTTGTCTTTTTAAAATTTAATTTGAAAGGGCTTCAAATCCACGATGCCTCAGTGGCTGAGTGTTCAATGTTCCTGGCCAGTGCTTGGGCCCTTGATCACCCAGGCTGTCTTAGTTATCATTTAGACAGAAGAGGAGTAGCATGAGGAAATTAATCTAGAAGTCTTCCACCTGGCTGAGAATGGTTGGTGTCTCATCTCTCATAATGGGGAGATAGAAAGACCACAGCAAATACCTATGATATAATTACCCCCATAACCAAGAAAGCCATGTTTTCTTTTTCCCTAGGGTCATTCACTAAGTTCCTCCACTGAACTGATGCTGTGCAGTCTTGGGTGAAGATTATAACTGTGAGCTTGCTGGATGCATTTTTATATAACTTATTCTCCTCACTCTTCTCCTCTTCCAGCTCCAGTGCTGGTATCATTCATGCATTGTGGCTGATCTCTAGCTAAGTGGCTAATCTTATCACAGGGATGGACGGAGATATGCATCCCACTGAGAGAGAATTTTTTATTCTAATCTCCATAAAAGCTGCAGCTGAATAGACTGTTTTTATTCTGGACCACCTGATTACCAGAGTAATTTCAGTCCCTTTATAGCTGCCATTGCTCAGGCCCCACTTACTGTGCTTTTAGAAAGGGATTATGTATCCAGATGTTCCTTCAAGTCAGCATTGAAGAATTAATAGCTTCCTCCAGTTAGTGCCCTGGATTTGAAGAACTCTTCTTGCAACCTACAACTCTTAGTTCCAGTTTGCCAATGTAAACCATTTCTGTGCACTTGAAAATTCTCTTGGCACTACAATTCCTAGAGATGTGTGCACAATTATTGGCAACAAAGAAAGAGAGACACTCTATGAAATTGGATTTATCATCAAAACCATTTTTATATCTGACTTTCCTTTGTAAGGAAAACACGTGAGACGTTCTCCTTACTCAGCCTAACATGAATGCTCAGGTCTCCCTCAGCTGCTGCTGTGAACATTCAGCTCATATTCTCTCTTCTCTGCATTACTGTGCCTACTGTTTATGCTAGAGTTACTGTTGGCTGCTTTACCTTCACTTAGTATAATGCATCTCGTTCGATCACTTTTGCTTGCTTTGGCAATATTCCTGTATTTGCATACACCCCTTTTGATTCTTGAACTGTGTGGTTCCTTTGAACCCATACTCAGACCCCATTACTACTTCCAGGCTTCCTTCTAACTAAGAGTTCTGTGTTAATAACGCTCATTGACTTCATAGGCTTACATCAGAGATGAATTTGGACCAATAACTTGAGACCCCAGAGGGAATTGGGGTTGTCTCTTCCTTTACATGAATGTGGCTGGGGTTTCTCCCTTATCCCACTCCCAAACCACTGTTGGATAAGAAATCTTCAATTTCCTTAACTCCACAAACCCCTCACTTTTGAATGTATTCCCAATTCTCCTATATTTCTGTAGTATCAAGCCACCCCTGAATTGAAATGGCATAGAAATTTGAGGCAGGTGGAGGAGAAGATGACTACACAATGAATTTTGGGCTTTGCAGTGAGGGTCCAAAATGAATGAATTCAAGGGAGGGGGGCTGATTTGTTTGAACCAGCCCTGCGTGCAGGCCTCATGAACAAATCTAGCTGGAATTTTTTTGACAGGACAATCTTTCATCAAAAAATGCTGGTTTTTTTAATGTAAAAATTTCATGGGAACATGTCAATTCTGGAAAGCTACTGAGACTTTTAACCACAGTGCCAGTTAGTGCCAACCATTGTGGTGTGTTTTGTGATGTCCACCATCTTGTATCACATAGGCCCTGAACAATGAACAGATGTTAGCAACTTTCAAATACTACCAGCTAGAACTGAATATAAATCTGAATCCTTGAGGTAAAAGCTGTATATCCCATTGCCAACCTAAGTTCCCTCTAAGCTGTGCGGCCATGCAGCAGGCTATCAAGGGCCATGCAGGTGCGCAGGGGGGAGAGGTGCCTCTCCCCTGGCCCTGGCCCCGGAGCTGCTGTGGCTGGCGAGAGGCACTTCTCCCCCGGGCTCGGCCCCGGAGCTGCCGCAGCCGGAGAGAGGCACCTCTCCCCTGGTCCGGTAGGGTTGCCAACTTTAAAATTCCAGAAAACTGAATAGCCTTGCCCCGCCCACTGCCCTGCCCACTCCCTGAGGCCCTGCTCCTGCACCGCCCCCCTCACTCCATCCCCCCCTCCCTCTGTCGCTTGCTCTCTCCCACGTGCTCATTTTCACTGCAAGGCCCAAATGGGGAGGGATGTATTGACAGATGTATTATGCTAAGTTCAGGTTTTATTTGTTACAAGACACTAGAGCCGGCAGCAAAATAGTCAAAAAGGGTAATTTAAAAAAAAATGAAATTTCACAAAGGTTTTCATGATTCTTTCCCTTCCCTCTTCCCATTTTTCGTAACCAGCTCCATGTTTTTTGTTCACTAAAGTTGTTGTGATTTTATGTGTGGAATTAGGACTACACATTATCACAGCTGCAATGGATCCATTAAAGGCCCACTCCTGAAGTCCAAATACAAATCCAGAGAACACAACCACAGAAATGCACACCTGTCCATATACCTATATAAATAAATCTGTAGAAACTGATTCCCACACCTACATGCAGATAAACATGTGTATTCATATGTACACATCTAGTATGCACTAATACATATAAAAAGCAAGAGAGTCCTGTGGCACCTTATAGACTAACAGACGTATTGGACCATAAGCTTTCTTGGGTGAATACCCACTTCTACGTCTGTTAGTCTATAAGGTGCCACAGGACTCTTTGTCGCTTTTTACAGATCCAGACTAACATGGCTACCCCTCTGATACTTGACACTAATACATATATTTCCACATTATTTATTATTACAATTGTTGTTCAGTGCCTAGAGACCCCAACTAAGATCAGGGCTCCAGGGTGGTAGGTGCTGGACATACACATAAAAAGAGAGAGTCTGCAACAAAGAGTTTTTAATGTAGCTAGAAAAAGGTGGGGAGAAATGTGTGATACGTTGGCTCTTCTGCAATTTCTAGTCAACAACATTCACTTCTTAAGAAATAATACATTTCTTTTAGAGTTCCCTTCTCTTTTAAAAACTTGTTATGAAATGAATACACACATATTTTATGTCATACATTTTTTTGCGTGCAAGCCAGCAAAAGGAATAAAAGTCAGAGTTAGGCTGCAAATTTTATTCGCACAGGTATACACACATGCGGCAATGCACACACATGCCTACACAAAGATACACAGTCTCTTACACACATACAATGCATGCATGCATGCACTTGCCGATAGAGAGACACTTTGTCATACACTTTTCCAGGGTCTGCCTAAATCACCCAGCTGGGAAGGGAGGATGGTGGGCTGGAGGGGAAAAAATGGGGGTGGTGAGGGTGGAGGAGAGAGGATGGGGAGGAAAAGAGGCCAAGGATGAGAGCAGGGTTGGGGTGAGAAGGGGCAGTGAAGGAGAGAAGAGGGAGTGTGGGGGGTATGTGGGGTGGATGGGGATGCAGGGGGAGGCAGAAAGATATAAGTGCATGAGGATGAGGGGGGCACAGGGGTGTAAAGGGACATAATGCGAGTGCAGCAGTGTATGGAGGTGAATGGGGTGCAGGGATGTGGGGGGTGAGGGACATGGGGGTGGTAGTTCTGGGAGGTGGAGAGGATGGGTGGGAGAGTGGGATACAGGGCTGGGATGGGTGGGAGAGTGGGGTACAGGGCTGGGATGAGATGGGATGGGGGAGGGATGCTGTGACGGGGGATAGGGGTGCGGGGGGGGGGGGGGCAGGGAGGGGTGCAGGGAGGGGGGGGGGGGGGGGGGGGGGGGGCAGGGAGGGATGCAGGGAGGGGGATGGGGGTGCAGCCCCATTCCCAGGACTTGGAGACGGGGATACACATACCTCGAACTCCTGGGTGCCGGCGATAGGGCGACAGACAGACTGCGGTTCGCTGCAGGGCACGTGCCACAGCTCAAGCCAGGGGCGGTTCTATGTATTTTGCCGTCCCAAGCACGGCAGTCAGGCAGCCTTCGGCGACATGCCTGCGGAAGGTCCGCCGGTCCCGCGCCTTCGGCATACCCGCCGCCGAATTGCCGCCGAAACGCCGCCGAAACTGCGGGACCGGCGGACCTCCCGCAGGTATGCCACCAAAGGCAGCCTGACTGCCACCCTCATGGCGACCGACACGCTGGCCCTCGCAGCTTGCCGACCCAAGCACGCGCTTGGTGCACTGGTGCCTGGAGCCGCCCCTGGCTCAAGCCCAGCCACACGAGGCGCGCGCCACGCGATCCCTCAACATCCATGAGTCATGCTCGCGCTAGTTCCTCCCCTGCCCTGACCCAGACAATGGGAGCTGCACCTGTGGGCGGGAGGCGGGGCAGCATGCGGACCCCCCCGGCTGCCCCTAAGGCTAGGAGTCATACATGCCAGCTGCTTCCCAATCAGAGAGCTGCGTGGCGCAGTGGCTAGCAGGGAGCCTGCCAGCACCCTTTGTGGCGCAGCAGCGCCCCCAACTGGACAGTCAATGCCACAGTCAGTGGTGCTGACCGGAGCCGCCAGGATCCCTTTTTGACTGGGTGTTCCAGTCTGTCCAAAACCAGACACCTGGTCACCCAAGGCCCCGGCCCTGCAGCTGCTACGGACAGGGAGAGACAACTCTCTCCTGGCCCCGGGCTGCTGTGAAAAAGAGAGGGCTGGGGGAGTTTTCTCTCCCCACCGCAGCCCCGTGGCAGCCTGCACCCCAAGCCCCTCATCCCCAGAGCCTGCACCCCCAGCCAGAGCCCTCATGCCCTGCACTCCAGCCCTCTGCCCTAGCCCTGAGCTCCCTCCCACCTCCCACCCCTGAAAACCCCTCATCCCCAGCGCCACCCCAGAGCCCGCACCCCCAGCCAGAGCCCTCAACCTCTGCACCCAAATCCTCTGCCCCAGCTCTGAGCTCCCTCCCACCTCCCAAACCCCTCATCCCCCGCCCCACCCCAGAGCCCGCACCCCCAGCCAGAGCCCTCAACCCCCGCACCCAAATCCTCTGCCCCAGCTCTGAGCCCCCTCCCACACTCCGAACCCCTTGGCCCCACCCCTGCCACACATCACCTCCATATTGGTGTACATAACAAAGTTCATTCCGCACATGGACATAAAAAATTAGAGGCACCTTGTTGCCAACCCCTTTTGCAATCTAGTCCTCCATCTTTGCCATTTTTTTTTAACCCTGGTTCATAATCTTGTGCCATATTATGCTGTCACTTTTTAAAAACTCCATATTAGAATCAATGGCGAGTTCTTGCTCAAAGGTGAAGTAACTTCCAGCACTGACTACTTCAAGCCACTGACTGGTGGACTAGGGCAGGGAACAACAACCTGGAGCATCTGCAGAGGACTTCAAATGTGGCTTCAGAGGGTGTTATGTATACGCTTTCACTCAGAAATCCTATGCTGATCTTGGAAAGAACTGACCTTTCGCTCTCTTTCTTCTTAATGGATTTCCTTTCTGCTTATGTTCCTGGCCACTCTTTAAAGCTGGTAATTGTTGGATATCTCAGCTTCCTTAGGTACCATCTGCTGTCATATTTATAGACAGCTTCACTTTGCTTCATTGCTTGGGAGCTTATTGCTAGCTTAGGGAGGGTGCACTACAGTTCTTAAACTCAGAATTCTCAGATTTAGATGAGTCATTTTTAAATGTTTTAAATGATTCTCTTAAAGGTTGAATATGCTTCCATGCTAATTTTATTTTAGGATTGTAGAGTACAGTAAGTGTCTTACATGAAGAGCGTTATTCAAAGGGAAACGACTGTATGAGTTTCTCTCAGATAAACCCTTTAAGATATTGGATGTCTGTAAGCTAGAACTAGGTTATATTCTAGGTACTGAGTTCTTATATCACCCTCATCACCATAGTCTCTGAGCAACTTCCAAATAACTTTATCATGGGTGAATAGTGAAACTACTGGATGCATCACATGACTACTCTACTCATAAGTGGTTATTTCACATGCAGGTGGTGTGACATACAAATTGAATTTGTTCATTACAGCGAATAAAGGAAAAAGACATTGTACTGACCTGAGACAGCCAAAGTCATTATGCAGGCACAGGAGTTGCACTGGACAGTGGAGTCCCCTGACTCGAGCAGCTCCAGAATTGGCTCAAGTAAACCCATTTGGACAACTTGTTCTTTGTTTACTATTCAAAAACAAATAAAATGGTGACTAGCTAACACATCCTTTATAGGTGCAAAAATTATATCTTCTCTTGGATTCCTTTGGAGTCTGTATATTAATTTCTGCAAAATGAATTTAGCATTCAAATAGATTGGAATTTATTGCACCAAAATGCACATGGCTATAATGTTTTATTCGAGAGTTCGGGTGATCAATTTTTTTAGATTTCTTTACTATTATATAACTGTATATAAACGTGCCACTGTAATATTCTGTAAAGTGACTTTAGAAAAATGAAAAATTATAAGAGGTCCTTGTTATAGATTCTAGCTGAGCCCCATAATTTTTATTATTCATGTGCAAATAGTGACACTCCATAACTTACAGCAAGTCACCAAAAATAATGGGCTAGATTCATACTAGCTTGATGCTGGCGTCTGCTGGTACAGGGTAATGTAATGGAATGTCTATACTGGCATAGCTCCAAGGGAAGGCAGCAGTGGTACCACTGCCTGTCTCACCTTGTGGATGAAATTTCTGCCCTGCTAACCCATAGAGCAGGGATAGGCAACCTATGGCACGCATGCCAAAGGCGGAACGTGAGCTGATTTTCAGTGGCACTCACACTGCCCGGGTCCTGGCCACCGGTCCGGGGGAATCTGCATTTTAATTTAATTTTTAAATGAAGCTTCTTAAATATTTTAAAAACCTTATTTACGTTACATACAACAATAGTTTAGTTATATATTATAGACTTATAGAAAGAGACCTTCTAAAAACGTTAAAATGTATTACTGGCATGCGAAACCTTAAATTAGAGTGAATAAATGAAGACTTGGCACACCACTTCTGAAAGGTTGCTGACCCCTGCCATAGAGTGTAGTGAGCTTTACTGGTGTACGGCAATGTCATCTATAACTCCCTGGTCCAGCCAGAGTGAAGCTAGTCCTGTTTTATAAATAAATAAGTGAATCTTTCAAAAAATAAATCTTTTTCCCCCAAAGCAGATTGAAAATAAGATCCAGCTAGTTGTAACAGAAAAAATAAACATTATTTAAAAGTCAGACTTTGAGTCTAAAAACTATCTTTGTTGCTGAAAAGACAGCTGCGGTATTCTCAGTCAGGTGTGATGAAAACCCAGTGCGAGTACTGGTACTCTCAACGTAAATTGGGTCTTAGTGAACAGAGAAATCTGTTTCCACCAAGAGCAGAGATCTCTTGATTTACTCACTGTTTCCTTCCAGCAAAAAATTTACGAGGGACAAGGAAGACATCTGCTGAACCTCCATGTCACTGGACTGCAGTAAAGCATAATAGGATTCCAAATGCTCAGCAGGCAGATGGGTGCTCACTGTAGAAATGAGAAGAAATAATGAACAAGTCTCTCCACTTTGTCATTTCTTCATGTATCTTCAGGCTGAGGTGCTACCATAGTCAAATATTGTGTATTTATATTCCAGTCTCAGTCAGGCCAAGCTGTTCACTATCACTTTAATAATCAGATATTTTAGAAATATTATTGGCCAAACGTGGGGAAGGAGGGGAAAAACAGAAATTACTTTTAAGTCTAGCTACCAAACAAGTCTTTCTGCCCCATATCAGATCCTAGTTTGGATGACTATGTGTGCTTTTCAGCAGTAAGAAACATATGATGTAAAGACATCAGGCCAAATTCTCTACTGATGTAACTTTATTGGAATCAAGGGAATTGCACATGTGTAGCCAAGGGGAGAATTTGACACATTTTCTGATGTTCAAACCGTTGAATACTCATCTTATATAAAAAATATTTACTCACTGTTCCCCTCCACTGTCCCTACTTTGTCTGTTACCTCTCAGATAGCTTCCCTCCCCGTATTTTTAAAGCACAACTCAAAATCCCGAATCCTTTCACATCAAGTCTGATGTGAGAAACCTCAATATCCAACTTCCAGCTGGACAGTCTCTGCTAGACAGTTGTGTACTGACTCCTGCTCCCTGTTCACGGACCATCTGAAAAACTTTCATCAAAGAGCCATTGCAAATGCCTTGTTCCTGAATCTTCACTACCATCTGGCCTCTAGGTAGTTGTCATCTCCTGGGGTTCCACAGTATAGCCCCAATAGGACACTTCCTCTGCTGTCTCTCACAATACTCTATGCTGTGTAACTTATGGGAGGTTCAGAGTACACCCAATTCAAATGTAATGGGCATATCCTATAAAGGCTGTGTTGAAATTTTACAGAATTGTCATAGTTATAAAGGTGACTTTATGTCTCTTAGGGTACGTCTATACTTACTTCCTGGTCTGGATGTAAGCGATCGATCTTCTGGGATCGATTTATCGCGTCTTGTCTAGACGCGATAAATCGATCCCGGATCGATCCCGGAAGTGCTTGCCGTCGACGCCGGTACTCCAGCTCGGCGAGAGGAGTACGCGGCATCGACGGGGGAGCCTGCCTGCCGCATCTGGACCCGCGGTAAGTTCGAACTAAGGTACTTCGAATTCAGCTACGTTATTAACATAGCTGAATTTGCGTACCTTAGTCCGAAGTGGGGGGTTAGTGTGGACCAGGCCTTATAGGCACCAGTATCATCTGCCTATAATAAAACCAGATGTCACTTGTTCCACAAGTGACTCCGCACATATGAAACTATGACAGCACTTCCTTTGCAACAAGAGATTGAAAAAAGATCTTAAATTCATTAAAGAGCTTAACAGTTTGAGGAAAATACTTTTTGTTTAGTTATATTTATGAAAATCTTCAAACGCACCAGAAGGAGCTTACTTACAGTGCTGACTCATATGCAAGTAATACAGAGCAGCAGACTGCTGTAAACCAGGGTTTTCTGAAAATGCTAAGGTCCTCAGAGCTTCCAGGGAGTCCTTTCCAAATGGTGACATTTCAAAACCTGTGGAATGTACAATGACAGCACAGATTTAGTTAATCCTGAAAAGGTTTAGTGTTCAGGAGTTCAGAATTCCCAGGGATTTAAACCAGCAGGCAACCCAAAACACATGGACTAGCATATCGGAATGGACTATAGCAAGTCTACTCTAGTGATCACATCTCCAAAAGTGGCCAGTATCAAATGCTTCAGAAGAAGATTTGGCCCTCAGTTTTTATTCAGTGAAGTCTTTCTTTGGGAGTTTTGCTCGATCAGAATCTGAAGACTGGATCGCCCCCTCCTGAGGTAGAACCTCAAGAGAGAGCTAAGGAAGGAGGAAAACTCCAAGGTTTCCCCTGTGGAATTTCCTCACGTCATTCTGTGAGGGCAGCAAGATTTAGCCACATGCAGCACGAACCACAGTTCTACTCAAACAGGTTGGCTCTTGGGAATTCATCAAAGTTGCAGAAGTACTGTGCCTCCACAGCAGCTCTAGGGCCTCTGCAGCTGTGCCCTGGCTGCCTAGCATCAAAGAAGATGCACTGCTAAGGACTCCTCAGCAGGTGCCTGCCCCTAGGCCTCCACTTTAAGGATCCCATCACAGAGGAAGGGGCTTCTCAAGAAAGTGAATATAACTGCTTCTGAGTATATTAAATTTTCTCCTATGTTTCTACTGGGTGCTGAGAAACCCCTGGCCTACCCACTTCTCCCCACCACCTCCCAACCCTCATTCCCTGCACTTAACACACCAATGGATCCTAGGACCTGAAGACAGTCCTCTGTGACATCTAGGGGAGGTGGAAAGAATACTGCTGCAGAAATAGGTGTCCCTTCTTCTGCATGTGAAGGAGGAAATCTATGCCCGAAGGGGTCCATCTACCCAAAGATACTATCATGCTGTGAATAAAGACTTAGAATTTGGCCCATAGTTAATGTTCAATCATTAATGAACTGAATCATCAGGATCGGCCCACCTGAAGGTATGTAGAATGTGATACTAATTAAGGCTAGCATTATCTGAAGCAAATCCATGCATGTTCCAGATAAGTAGTATTGCAACAATTAATCTGAAAGATTTTTCCATGGTTGATCATCCCAGACAAGGTTATCCCCGTCACACAAAAAACAAACAACTCTACTGGCCCCTCCGTCAAGACGTATTTATGTTGCAAAAGAGAAGAGTAGAGATAGTAGCATTTTGTGCCTTGCTAGATGCACATTAATGGAAATAGAAGGCTCATATTTTATGAATGCAATACCAGCATATTTTGTATAGCCACTTTGGGATGAAGACTATAACGCAAAGCACTGTATAGAATTAAGCAACAGCACAGAGAAGGGTTGGGGCAAAGTGAGAAAGACACATTTTTATCTTAGATTTTTAAAGAGTGAGAATTAACCAAGTGGACAGATACAGGAAGGTTTTCCTTGATTGCAGGAATTGCAAAGTAAAATGTTTTCACATCATTGGTGGTGTAACTATATAGAGAGACAGAGAGGAGACCTCTGCTAGAGGAACGGAGGGATCCGGGAGCAGAGATGAGAGTTAATCTATGAAAGACAGAAAAGCCATAAGAAATTTTATACATTTTGGTAATTTTAAACTGATGAATAGGAAGCCAGTGAAGTTGTATAAGAATGATGTGATCACACATTTTTGTACACATGAGAAGCCACACAACTGAATTTTACATATGCTGGCCTATGGAAGGATGAGCTTTCATCTAGACAGGCATAAAGAAGGGAGTTGCAATAACTATGGTAGAAAGAAAATGCTGCCACTAAAGCTGCATATTATTAATATGGGTGATAGTTAAGGTTAAAGAAAGAAATATGATGACCAATGGGGAGAAGACAGAAAGAGCAGCTAACCAAGAATTTAATCCTGTGGGATTCTACAGAGGCAGGGAAGAGCCACCAGTTTTGTAGAAGTGGAATTAAGACCGGAGGGAACTAGATATGTCTGTGTTGTTTTGTAAATGGAATGGACCACAGAGTTCAGCTCAAACAAAAAAGCAGGTCATTAACTACATGAAGGAAGTGGTTTCCATGCTATGACAAGAGTGAAAGTATAAAAGCCACCAATTGCAGCTAACATGAAACAGCATCAGCTCTCTCCTCCCTCCACATCCAATTTCATAGCACAAAAGTAGTGAAATTAAACTTTTCCTATCAATTCACAGGGTAGCTTCTATAAAGAGTGGCTACAGGATAGAGCGCTGAAGTAGGACTCAGGAGACCTGGGTTCATGTCCTAGCTTCACTGGTAGACTCCTCGGGACCTTGGGCAAGTCACTCTTATCCCTGTATGTCAGTTTCCCTATCCATATAATGGAGAGAATGGTACTTTGTAAAGCATGTTAAGATCTGAAGATGGAAAACAGTATTATAGCTCTCATAATCTAGTTTTCTATGGACATTCCCCCTTTCTTCTCTAAACTAAGAAAATTCAGTATGAACTATTTTTAATCATAAAGCCACTAGGAGCCAGAAAATGCAAAGTTAAGAAAATACAAAATTTGCATACCAGTATTCAAAAAATTATGTAAAATATTTTAGCTGCTAAATGCCCATGCTAATTACTGGGTATAATGTGGCTAAAATATCAGACACATTTTCAGTGGAGGGGGGAGTGGAAGAAACAGGAGAAGTGGCAGAAGCATAATGCACGCTGGTTATTCTGCACTGCTAGGTAGCTCTATAGAGAGCATTGACGCTTAGTATGCTGCTGTAGCTTACGTTAAGGACTGCTCCAATCCCCAGCTCCCTCCAAAAAATCAGTAGATGCTGGTAACCTGAGCCATCTTTGCCCCTTCTTAGGTTAGCTGCAGTCCACAATCAAGGCTGCTACTTCTCTGGACCATCACAGATGGCCCAGCCACTACTTGTGACTCTCAGTAAGAATAAAAAAGAAACAAGAAGCAACAATGCTCACCTGATACAAATCAAAGTTATTTGCACGGTGGCCTTTGTAGAGAAACAAGTCATCACAGATATGTGCAGTCATATTACAGATATAGTATTTGAATAACAGTTGGACCATATTTGTGGCTGTTTTTCTGCTCGAATAGCTAATTAAGGATAGATGTTAGGACTTATGAGCCTTTCTAGCTGCTGGCTCAAACAAAGGTGATGCAGTAATCTTTGTTTGTGGTGTTAGTCCATTGCTGAAGCAAAGATAGCATCTTTCAAACAAGGGATTAATATACTGTGCCAAAAAGAACAAGAGAGTGTTGTTATAGTTGGAGCAGTTAATGCAAATTTCATAATAAATCATCCTTTGTCTTTTAGCTCTTTTGAGCTGAAATATTCCATACTTGGTCTCTTCCTAAAGACGATTTGGTAGGAGACTCCAGTAGAAAATAACCCTGACAATAATAGTAACCTCTAACTTTATTTTTGAGAAAATGCATAAATTTCCTGATCTACCCAATCTTTCTCAATAGTTTTATTCCTGTAAGAGCTGGTTGGTCTTTTGAAAGAAAGCAGCATCCTAGCTGACTTTGTTGTTCAAAAAATACAGGACTTTATTCCTCCCTGATAGCTGGCTGAGACCATTTATACTCTATGAACCTAGTTGTTCTTTCAGTTATGCTAGTTTCATTCTGATGTACCTAAATGGGTATTTGACACTATAAAATCTTAGTGCAATAACTAGTGAGAAATAGCATGCATGTTTAAAGCGGTCAAGCCACCTTTATCATAAGCTTATTTTCTATCACTTCCTAATGCAGAGGCATAATAACACACTGTACTGAGGAATTTCTCACTCCGTTCCCTGTCCCCATGTACTCTGTGATGTTTCACTCTGCTGGAACACATTACCAGGCTTTGTGAGTAAGCAGGAGTATGGCCAATGGGTCCACAAAGGGTTAAGATCTCACCAGCTAAAATCCCAGTGCAGATGGGGAACAGTAGTCTGTGAACACTACTGCAACCAATAGATTGCAGTAGCTGCTGCAGGCTGACTGCACAGATAGCCTGCACTTTCCCTCTCATTTGGGGGTCAGGAAAGGCCTTTCCATGTAAAGACTGTATACTTAAAGGTTTAGACAAGGAACTGGGATCACCCGTATTTTGGGGGTTCTAACACTATTTTCCACGCCTTTTCTGTGACAAATGGAATGTCATGATAAATTTCAAGCAGCTTGGTTCTGCTAAAGAAGATCAGTAATAGACATTCTTTTATTAATGGTTGATAAGAAGCTGTACTTGCATCCTTCTCTTCTCTCTTTGTGTCCACATTGGCCAGGGGATTTTAAAAAGTGCAGTGAAATTTTGAAAATGTGGACAGACAGGCAATGCATTGCCCAAAGAACCATCCCCACCATATATGTAGCTGCTATTGCCTATGAGTAACCCTACCTTATTTCTGTATTAGGTGTATTGACTTAAAAATGCAAAGAGAGGTTGGATCCTTGCCTTCCCCTCAACATTTATCTCGTACAGTAAAGTTTGGATGATCCCTGTAGTCTTTCTTGCATTCAGTACTGCTTGTCTTCATATTGAGTCTATATGCCTATTGTCTCAACAAAACAGCCTCCTCCTTTTATCCCCCCTCTATCAAGATGAGTGGAAACTATGCTTCGTGGGCCTGATCCCATGAGCTGCAGTGGGCCCTCAAGTTCCACTGAAAGTTGAGCTACTTCAACACCACACACAAAGTGTCGTCTCAGAATCAGGCTGCATTTATGTTGTTTCATAGGAGCACAACAAGCTCAGAAACAAATTCAGGGCAGAGGGGTAGGAATGAGTGTATTCTGATAAAGGATAATTCTTATAATAATATTTTAGTGCACAAATCCAACTCCTGTACATAAAAACACAAAGACCCTCACCGAGATGACTAGCTGGTAAATGAATAAATCAGATAAAGTATGTGATGACAAAGATTATGTGGTAAACATATGAGAAAATTAATGTGAATCTAACTGAATAGAGTGGAGCTGTTAAATGAATATATTCTGTGAATACCAAAGCAGAACAGTTTTATCAAACATTAGCACCCTCTAAAATCCTGTCACATACCTAGACTTAATTTGTAGTTGTGTGATTAAAGAGCTGGATCATTCTGTTTCCAGCACTGTAACTCCAATAAATGGGAAGGGGAGATAAGGCAAAGATTCAGATCCCTCCCACTAACCAGATAAACTTTGGTCTTAATTTCTAGAAGACTCTGAATTATGAAACATGTTTTTTGTGTACAAATCAGGTTATGCATTTGTAGCTCTGTCACAGTGGAAAGCTATTGATCATTTTGATGCAGCTCTTTATTATGCCACTTGAACCCTCAGTTTCCCAAATACAGCAGGAAAAGCACTGTAGCTGTATCCCTGTACCACAGCACTGAACTGCACAAACCCAAGTTGGAACAAACAGCACAGTTTCATCAGTAGTCCATTGTTATTATGTAGAAAAAAATCACCCCAAATAACTGCCCCTCACCTGTTTCAATGTGCTGTAGAAACTCTCGCGCCATCTCCTTTTCGTGTGGCAGAAGGACAGGTTTGTATAGCTGTCTGGCTTCAGAGGTCTTTCGTTTTAGGCAAGAGCATTCACTTATCAGAATCAAATACTCCTTAATGTTCTGTATCAGACTTGAGGACATCCTCTTCACAAGGGACACAAAGTCCTGAAGCAACTTCACACACTTTTCACACAACTGAGCCATTTTTACTTTACTTGTTCTGATACCAACGCAAAACAAGAGAGAAAAAGGAAGATATATGGAAACAGTAGCTTCTTCACACCTTCACTAGTTTTTGCATTAAATTGTTGCTCCTGAGTTGGTGTGTGTTACAGATCTTGATTTACCCAACACTGTCATAACACTCTAGAGTCACTGCAAAACTTTGAAGTTATTTCCTATGTGAAAACAAACTGCATGGCACAACAAAACTTAACTGTCAATAGTACGCTCCTTGTGAGATCTATAAGATGTTAGTTTAAAGGCTGGAACAGAGCCACGTACAAATCACTGTTTCTCTGGATTGGTTGAAGAAAAATAAAGCGATCATACAAAACTGTTCCATAAATAACAAATGAAATTTATTGAAACAACTATCAAAGCCTTCACAACTCAGAGGCCAGTGAAAGCCTCTGGAACAATGGACAAAGAAGGCTGTGGTTATGTAAAGTGACATCACAGCTGAAGGCAAGGCACCACCTTCTCTACATCTCTTTTGCCAATAGGAAAGGTATTCAAAAAAAAAAAAAATCAACAGGTTTTTCCAGTTTCTACTGAAGTTTAGACAGGAACAAAGGCACCATCTGGCTAGACAGAGAGTTCATAACTTCTTCAAATAAAATGTCCTAGTCATGAAGAATGAAAAAACTGAGAAAATGTGTAAATACAAATATCAGAAGTGTACTTAGAATTATATTTTATATCCTGATAAACAAAATCTGGGCAAAGAGATGTGGAAAAAATAGACTGTATGTAAATCAAAAGTGATCAAGGCTCATCCTGAGGGGAGGCAAGGGAAGTCCAATTTCCCTTGTTAAAATTAAGTACTTTATTAATTTCTCTGGGCAGAAAGAGAGAACAGATAGGCACGAGAGTGCTTCCCCCCCCCATTCCTTTATGCAGTTTCATTGCTGTAGGTGCAAGTGCCTTCTCCTTTACAGATACATTTTTATTAAAGACACCATTGAAAATAAGATATATATAAATATTTTAAATATTCCAGAGGCTTCCTGTAAAATCGGAGTTGATTCTAGACCTCTTTGTTAGGCAATGAATTTGTGCTGGTGTGCTGAGTGGTCACTTAAGTCAGGCTTCCTATATTAATGTATTTGATACATCTGTCATGGATACATATACCACTGCATTTGAAGCATTTTATTGTAAGCTTTAAAGACTCATTTTTATACTTAGGGTAGGAGTTTCAAAAATTCCTAAGTCACTTAGGAGCACAAATCCCACTGACTTTCAATAGAACTTGTGCTCCTAAATCTCTTGCTTTTGGAAATCCCTCCCTTTGTCTATTATGCTTAAATCTATCAACAGTATCGCACAGTTTTTATTTGGATATTTAGGGATGTAGCTACTTGGGTGATGTTTAGATCCCCTAAAAATGTATACCATTCAGTCCAAATCAAGAGCTACCCATGGCTCCCTATATCCCCAATAGATGTGGGCCTCCCTGTATCTTTTAGTTAGTCTTTATGAGGAAGACTTTTAAAAGCAGTGTATCTCCTTGCTATTCAATCCAGTGATGTCTTCTGGCTACTTCCCTGCAAGATGTTCAAGGAGTGTCCAGCTGGCCCATTCCCTTCATTACTGTTTCTTAGGGGATGAGGGAAGCAGGGTTAGGAATGTCTGTCTGCTCCCTCCTCACTTCTGCCAAATCCACCTTGTAAGGATCTTCAAGGAGATGGGCCAGCTGCCCAGTCACATATCCTGCAGCAACAGACCCCAGAGACTCACTGCTATGTTCTGCTGCTACCACCACTGGCCTTTCAAACTTTGCTATTAGGATGCATGTCCAAGAGAGCAATGTGAGGTATAATAAAAAAAAAACCCTCAGAATCCATCAAGTTCCGCTTTTGTATCTAATTCAACCCTGGTGAGCAGATGTGCCAAGTTTCACTCATTTAGGATTAGTTTTAAGATCATTTTTAAACTGTCTACGTGAGAAAAGAAGCAGGATTTTAAAGCAATAATGTATTAATTAATAATATTTGCTCTTCTATAACACCTTCCATCTGAAGATTTCAAAGTGGTTTACAGAGAGACAAGGTAGGTGAGGTAATATCTTTTATTGGACCAACTTCTGCTGGTGGAAGGTATAAGCTTTTGAGCTACACCGAGTTCTTCTTCAGGTCTGGGGAAGGAAATCAGGGTGTCTGACCTAAATACAAGGTGGGGCACAGATTGTTAAGCATAAGGGATAACACATGTTGGAGGCCAGTTGAAAAGAAGTGGACAATTACAGATTAGATTGTTATGCATAAGGGGTTTGAAGTGGGCAATTAAGGGTAGCAGGCAGTCTGATACATTACAAATTGTTGTAATGAACCATAAAACAAGAGTCTCTGTTGAGTCAATGGTGATTGGTGTGTAGCAAAGTTATGAATTTAAGTTCCCAGCCTCACCTTTTGAAGGTGTTGTGTGGATTTCTTTGAAGATGACTATTGAAAGAGCAAATATGGAGTGATCACTTTCTGAGAAATGTTCACCCCTGGGTGATATGGGGTTTTTTTTTTTTTTTTTTTTGACTTTTATCATTTTCTGTGAGAGTTCATTCGAAAGCATAGTGATTGTCTGATTTCACCCACATAGTTGTTATTGGGGCATTTGATGCACTGGATGAGGGACATGACATTGTGACAGGCATATATAGGACCCATGAATCTTAAAAGGTATGTTGTGGCTGATGCTGATCATCACAGCAGCGGAGATATGTCTGCAGGTTTTGCATTCATTGTTCTGTGAGGGTCTGATGCCGCTTTGAGTTGGTTGGTTCTGGTCTGTGGGGAGCTTGCTTCTGACAATGAGCTTGGCAAGGTTGCCGTTGTTTAGGCCAGAAGAGAGTGTTCAGGAAAGATTTCTTTCAGGGTGGGGTCCCCATCAAATATGGGCTGTAGTTGTTTCAAGATGTCTTGTATGGATTCCAGTGTGGGCTCAGAGGTTTTTTGTTTTGGTTCTTTCCCTATATGGAAGTAGGTTCTCCAAGGTATTTGGGTGGCCCATTCCATAGTGAAATCTTCTTCTTTGATGAAGTGTCCTTGTTTAGTGAAGGCAGTTTTAAATGTGTTTAGGTGTGTATCCTGGACTTTCTCTTTGGAGGAAATTCTGTGGTTTCTGAAGACCTGGCTGCAGATAACAGATTTTTTGGTGTGTCTGGGAGGGATCTGTGGAGGTAAGGGTGAGCTATGGGTTTCTTGTATATACAGCAGCTCCTCACTTAATGTTGTCCTGGTTAACGTTGTTTCATTGTTACGTTGCTGATCTATTAGAGAACATACTCATTTAAAGTTGCACAACGTTTGCTTATAATGCTGTTTAGCCATGGGGGCTTGGAACCAGGGTGGGCCGGCACCCCTATCAGCTCCCCTCCAGCCCCCCCCCCAGTGCCTCCCACCCACTGGCAGCCCCGCAGATCAGCAACTCCCCCTTCCCTCTCCGTGCCTCCCGCCCGTAGCAGTCAGCTTTTTCGTAGCGTTCAGGAGGCTCTGGGGAGGGGAGACTCTGGAGGGGGGGAGGAGCGAGGATGTGGCGTACAGCCTGTCCCCTCTCTTCCCGCGCCTCCTGCCCGCAGCAATCAGCTGTTTTGCAGTGTTCAGGAGGCTGGGGGGCAAGGGGAGGAGGACACGGCGTGCTTGGGGGGAGGGGTGGAGCAGGGGCGGGAAGAGGCGGGGCGGGGTGGGCCTTGGGGGAAGGGTGGAGTGGGGGCAGGCCTGGGGCAGAGCTGGGAGTTGAGCACCTTTGGCACTTTGGAAAGAACAGCAAGAGGAGCAGCCGGACAAGCCACCCTCTTTCACCTTCTGACTCCACCACCTCAACCAAGCTTCACAATCATCATTGCTGAGTATAGTATTAAATCATTTGTTTAAAATAGTTTAAAACTTATATTGTATATGTATATAATGTCTTTTGTCTGGCGAAAAAAATTTCCCTGGAACCTAACTGCCCCATTTACATTAATTCTTATGGGGAATTGGATTCATTCCACTTAAAGTCGCATTTTTCAAGAACATAACTACAACATTAAGCAAGGAGTTATTGTTGTCTTTTGTAGGATTCCATTGTTGAAGATAATCATGGTGTCCACGAAGTTGATGCGGTGAGGGAGTGTTTTAGAGAGAGTTTGATGGATGCATGTGGTGGTTCAAGTTGTGGTGGAAATCTATGAGGGAGTTTAGGTTGTCTGACCTAAAACATCAATGAAAACATAATTGATGTATCTCAGATATATCACTGGTTTTGTGATGCATTTTTTCAGAAATTCTTTCCTGAGGTGGCCCATGAAGAGGCTGGCATATTGGGGAGCCATCCTAGTACCCATGGCTGTTTCCATGATTTGGACAAAATGTTTGTTGTTAAATGTGAAGTTGTGGGTGAGGATGAAATGGATGAGTTTGGCAATGATTTTGGGTGAATTTCTGAACACTGTACATCTTATAGGTATTTGAGGCAGGCAGCAATGCCATCATGGTGAGTGACATTGGTGTATAGGGAGGTGACATCCCTGGTGGCAAAGATGGTTTTCTGGGGTGGGGGAAGAAGTTGTTAATGTTGCGGAGTTTCTGGAGGAAGTCAGTAGTGCTTTGGAGAAAGCTAGTCCTTTGTGTGGTGAGTGGATTGAGGATGGTTTCCTGACATTCCTTCAGACATGATGGGTCTGCCTTGGTTCCCTGGTTTGTGTATCTTGGGAAGCATGTAGAACGTCCCTGGGGTGGGTATGTGGGGGATGAGGTTGTAGAATTTTTCTTGGAGCTGTTTGGGGAGGTATTTGATGGTATCTTTAAATTCCTGTGTGAACTGTGGTGTGGGGTCTTCTTCTTAGTAGGTGGTGTCAGAGAGCTGTCTGTTGGCCTTGTTGACATAGTCATCATGATTAAAGACTACAATCTTAAACTGCATAAACTATGCTGTTGATGTGGTAAATACTGAGGAAGACAAGAAACAGGCAGTTATAAAGTAGTACCTAAACAAAAAAAGTAAGT